CGTGTGGCTTGATCCCTTAGTAGGGTACGTAGGCAGCCTGAAGTTACTAGGTGCAGCCACAGATTAGACCTCACTTAGGTGGTCTTATTGAGATTGGTCTTGAGGACTAAGTGGGTGAAGGTGTGCGTAAATAGATTTTGAATTTGTTATATGCATGTTTGAAAAACATGGTGGGCAGTTGTGCTAGAATCATTTGAAGGCCGGAGGCCATTTGTGTAAATTGCATGAGATTATATTGTGCGTGCTGCCGGTTGGGTTATAAAATGTGTTTTGTGAAGGTGGAAATTTTGGGGAAATGTTCAAGTTACAGGGGAGACTCTGCCGAAATTTCGGCAGAAAGTCTCGTGCCCTTAATCTTCTATGGTAAACAAGGACGTAGATTTAAGGAGTGAACCCGGCGTGGGTGTGATGCCGGGGTCTCCGCAGGTTCGTCTCGGGTTCTGGGAAATTCGGGACGGGTCCTGTCAATATGTACATGTTTTATTCAGCAAAATTTTGGCAATATACAACTAAAATGTTTGGCCACTATATGTAATATTTTAATATAATTTATTTTAACATTTTAATATATATATTTCAATAATATGTGAAAAATATGTGAATTTTGTCTCTATGATTCAAAATTTTATAAAAAAAATACGTGTATTTAATGTGAAAAATATGTACATACATACGTGTATAATACGTGTGTTGTACGTTTGCTTTTTTTTTTTTTTTTTTTTTGCCTCGGAAAACACCACCACCCTCAATAGTGAATTTGGGATTCTATGGTCGATTACACCGATGGGTTATTCGTGAGCATAAGCTTCTGGACTTCACTTTAGAAAGGAAACTTAGATGAAGATTTTGCTTTCAACAAACTCGACTTCACAGAGAGAGAGAGAGAGAGAGAGAGAGAGAGAGAGAGAGAGAGAGAGAGAGAGAGAGGAAAGTGAGGAAGAACATATTATTTCACGTTTAGAATATTTGGGTTTTCTATACGAGTCAAACGGGTATTTTAAAGTGGGATTAAATTTGACGGATATAACGAGTTTGGAGATCACAAGTCCTCAAAATCTAGTCCTCAAGTGGGGAAAGACTTTCATGAAAGTAAGATAGTGTTCACCCACTTTAGATTCGTTCCTGTGATGGTAGGGTAAAGTTCCCCATTGTTTTGAAAACCATTGACTGGTCAACAAGTCAACTTTCTTTTGTGTGTGAGCGTGCTACTGCTAACAATAAAAATCCTAGTAGACTTCTTTAAAAATGGATAACTTGCGCCCCAAGTTACTGATTTCTAAACAAGTGATTGTGAATTTGGGTGAGGAATATCTCCCAAGTAAGTTCTTTTCTTGCGTCAGACTGGTGAGGACTTTACAATTTTTCACAGTACAAAACTAGTAGTTCTGGCCAGAATAAATGATAAGAAAGTGAACTGTTTTAGGTAGAACTACCTTTTACAAAGCTCACAAAGGAAGACCAACTCTAAAAAGACAAAAAGAGCTCTTGGACTTCAATTTCTACCTGGATATATGCTTCTGATCTGGGCTGGACTGGGTATGTATGTGCTGGACTAGACCATCAACACCTTTAACCACCAAGTTTCAGCCGTAAATCGATACAAACGTTCGAGTTTAGCAGAGCTTTAATCTATTTCAAGCCCTGGAAGGCTTTTTGAACAGGCAGAATTAGAACCTCTTCAGTCTGGAAGGGGCAGAAGTGGCTGGATTTGATGATTACTGAGCTGGAACTACACTGTAGTACCTGTTCTGCTTGATCAGGGTTCTCCATAAATTTGTTGAGGTTTTCATATTTGTGAAACCCGAATTCTGCTTGATTTCACTTATGCTGAACCAAATTTGTAACAAGAGAAATCTCTCTTTAAATGACTATTTCTCTAAAACTGAATTGAATTTAGAGATTCTGAATTCTAGCTGACTTGTTTGTGCTTGAGTGTTTTGAAGGTCTTTCGAGATCAAGTGATCATTTTTGAGTTTTTTTTTTTTTGATTGATTTTTTGACTGTCCTTTTTTTTCTGTTTACCTCATCTCATATTTATGGAAAATGCTATAGTGGGATTTCTAATCTTTTAATAATGGGTGGCAAATCTTCTTTAAAAGATCTTCTTTCTTTTCTCAATGTCATAAGAGAAGGAAGCTACTATTCTGACAGAGAAAGGCTGTCAACAATCAGCTTTTATGGAGGTCTTTTCCTTGCTTTTCTGAAAGAAAGACCAACTTTTCTTTGTTCTCTGTTTGTTCTTGATAAAGAGAAAGAACACAATCTGACGTGATGGTCAGTTTGCTTTTCATTTTTTGAACAACTCCCTTGCTTCCCACTTATCTCTTGAGATCGTAGTTTGCTTATCTCTTGGAAAGATCACCTGCTCTGATGTAGAATTATATAGAAAGGGATTCTGATCTTTTGTGTCACGCCCCGGACCCAGGGGTAGGTGGAAACCCCGCGCCCGGTGCATGAGAAAATAAAAACTAAAATAAGATAGAAAGACTCCGAAACATGGTTTAAAATAAACTTCTCTTAAAAAAAAATATATCCGAAATCTTACAGCTTTACAAGAAATAAATAAAGCTCTACTACTCTCATCTAATTCAGCCTCAATCGATTTAGTCCTTGTCTTGCCCACTAATTCATCTGAAAAGTTAAACAAAGTGAGGGATGAGCAACCACCACTCAATAGGGACATGAGACCTTACCACAGTAGATTGATATAACTAAATTAAGTGACATGCAATCACACAACCAAATATCACATTATTAATAACAATGCATGAATGTTCTTCATCTAATCCCGTTAATTCATATAACTGGACAATCAGACCTGCACGTCCCATACCATGCTTATACCACTTGGTCCCGAATGCGAGTTTCTTTCACACATTTCTTTATATGTAAGGAGGTTATTCTCTTTATGTGTGTGGGATTTTTCTTCCACTACAAGGGATTTTGCCTGAAAATCAAGAAGTGGCCATAAAAAGGCTATCAAAGAAGTCAGGGCAAGGACATCAAGAGTTCATGAATGAGTGAAAGCTCATAGCCAAACTCCAACACACCTATCTTGTTAGGCTCTTGGGTTTCTGTATTGAAGAGGAGGAACTGATCTTGATCTATGAGTCCATGCCCAATTGAAGTTTGGAAAAAAAATTTGTTTGGTATGTTCTCAGCACTTCTTAGATTATTTCTTTTGTTGGATGTGGCCTTTGTCTAGAAAGTTCTTCAACTATCTTAGTGATTTTCCTAGTCTCCTAAATATCCCTTTTCTAGCAACATTCTCTCCAAAACCATTTCAACACAAGACAGAAGATGTCTGCCTCTTTACGTTGAAGTGTCTAATAAGTATGCCTGCATGAGCCAGCAACTCCTAGCTTTTTACATTGAAATGGAACATGTTGTTTCTGTTACCAAAGATTCACGCAACATATATAATCAGGATTAATTTGCCTATATCTTTTCACATTTGAATTATGATACATCGGTGGCCCGCTGAGTGTTAGGTTTGTTTGGTACTTGTTGTGCTCCTATAGTGAAGGTGATCATACTAGTAATAAATGGTGGCCGCCTCAACTCATTTAAACTTTATAATTGATGAATTTTAGGTTCTTAGACCACATGATCATGATCATTTAAAATGGAGAAGATGAAATTATGGTTTGAAGCAAATTATTATCAGCTAGTAGTAGCCACCTTAGTTGATTAGTTTGAGGCATGAAAGTTCTTCCTCTTCCTCTGTCTCCGTGTCTCTGCATGGAGTGGTTGTTTCTCTGTCTTGTTACATTACTCTTATCTCTTTGTACCAGCCAAGACAATTTAGTACCTGGAAAATCTATCACTGAGAACCAGACCTTGACTTGTACCACAGGAACATTCGCATTAGGCTTTTTCAGACCTGAAAATTCCACCAAATACTTCCTTGGTATATGGTACAACACAATCCCAGATACACCAGTAGTATGGGTTGCCAACAGAGAATCCCCACTTGATTCTCCGGGTGTTTTCATGCTCGTCTGTGATGGAAATCTGGTGGTGTTAGATGGGATGACTAGAAAAGTTATCTGGTCATCTAATGCTTCAGTACCTGCTTCCACAATGAATGCCACAACTGGTTTACTAATGGATAGTGGAAACCTTGAGCTGAAGTATAAAGGAAACTGATGTAGAACAGCCCGTAGGTTTAGAGTAAACAGCCCGTAGGTTTAGAGTAAACACTTGAGCAATAGAACACAGAAGAAATAAGGGATTGAAGAGAAGAATTAGAGATCGAAGAGACGAAGGAAAGGGGAAGGAATCAGAGAGTTCAAAGTAAGGAAATTTATCATTAATCAAGTCTGCCTTAAAAGATTACAAACAACTCTATTTATAGAGGCAAAATCCTTTTAAGTCTAGGAAAAGGAAAAGTAAACTTTAAGAAATAGGAAAGCAAATTAACTAATAAGAGATCCTTTAACAAGAAGGAATCTTTAAGAATTAGGAAAACAAATTAACTAATTAGAGATCCTTTACTAAGAAGGAATCTTAAGAATTAGGAAAACTAAAAATAGGAAAACTAATCCAAGTAGAATTAGGAAAACTAATAATATGCATTCTGCATCATTCTCCCCCACCAAAAAGAACTCGATACCGGCGAGTATACCAAGATGAAGGATGACGACGATGTTTGTAAGTATGGATGATGGGAGGACGGGAGGCAGCCAAATCAAGGTCATGAAAAGCATTTGATAACTGTGCAGAAGAGTGGAATCCAACTGGCGAAATTCAGCTTTTGTAATCCAAGTATCCTCAGTAGCAGGCCTTCCAACCCAATGAACCAGAAAACAGGTAGAATCTCCAGGAGACGAGGCCACAACTTCATGATCTGAGACGTCCTCAATCTGATCTGTAGGGGTAGAACTAGGAGAAGGACTACACAGCATCGGAGGAGGAATGAAACCGGTAATATTATTTACGGTGCAACCATCCACACACATTCGCCAGGAACCATCCTTTTTGGGCTTAAGGAGAACTAGAACAACACAAGGGTTTAAACTATGATGAATAAAGCAATTATCCAGCAACACCTGAATTTGTCGATTCAATTCCGCTCGCGTGGACGGATTCATACAATAATAGGGAAGATTAGGAATTTGCGAACCAGGAATAAGGTCAATAGCATGCTGAATCTCTCTCGCCGAAGGTAATGCATCTGGTAAGTCATCAGGTATGATATTAGAGAATTCGGGGAGGAACTGATGCATGGGTTTGGCAAGTAGTGTGGGGTTGCTGTCAGATTTCGGTTTAAGCAACAGAGCAAAGGACACACCAGTGTCTTGCAGTTCGTGTGCAAAGTTTATAGATGATAAACTACTCAATCGATGCTCTGAAGCCTTCTCAAGTAATAGAGTTGGTTGAACATCCTTAGTTGGTTTGATGGCCGGATTGGAAGGCGTTAGCGTTATGTTCTTTCCCTCATGTTGAAAAGTATATGTGTTCTCTCTACCACAACTTTTCACACAGCAGTCGTAAAGCCATGGTCGGCCTAGTAGCACATGTGCGACACTTATGGGTAGGATATCACAATAAAGTCGCTCGTGACAGGGACCCAATTGAAGAGGAACAAGACATCTTTCAGTAACAGGTAACATGGTGTTATCTACCCAGCCAACATGAAAAGGACGGGGATGTGGCTTGGCCTAAAGGTGAAGGCAGTCGACAGCAGCTTTAGAGATAACATTTAGTGTGCTTCTCCCATCAATAACTAGTTGGCATCTATTAGTACCGCAAGGGACATAGGTTTGAAAAATACTTGTGCGTTTCCATGAATCAGGAGGTGTAGATGCTGAATAAATACAACGCATGACACTCACTTGGTGAAACGCCTCCTCACAGCAATTATCAAGTTTTGGATCATAAATAGGTTCAAGGGGCTCCACATACACGTCCACACAAGAGTCCTCATTGAGGGAGCCAATGGTTAAAGTTCGATGCGGACAACGGGAGGCAATGTGGCCCTTAGCATGGCAACGATAGCATTCGATGTGAGCAGCCATGGATGGGGCTGGTCCTTTTTCTGTTATGGGTATCGTAGGAGCAGGTGGACAGGCAACGTCATGGAGCTAGGAGTACTACGATTTGGAGTAGGAGCGGAAGAAAGCCCGGAATACCCGGTATATCTACGTTGTGGGCCCAAAAAAATTTCAGCTTCCAGTGCATGGCAATATGCATCTTCCAAAATATGCAGACGGAATCAACGGACTTCACGCTTGATATCGTCACGAAGACCATGGATAAAGCGAAACATAGTGATGTCGGGTTCTTCACGAATCCCTGCACGTATCTTGTGTTCAATAAAACGAGCGTGGAATTCAGTAATAGTCAAACTTCCTTGTGAAAGGGTCCATAATTGATCATACAATTGATGGCGATAAAAGGTGGGAAGATATTGTTCGCGAAGCTTTAATTTCATCTCGTCCCATAGAGTCACAGGCGGCCGTCCAAATTGATATAGTTGCTCCTCCACCGAATTCCAATATTGTTTAGCGGCTCCCTGTAGTGTCATCTTACCAATGCGAAGTTTATGAGCATCCGTAAGTTGTACCAAGCGAAATAATCTTCCATGGCTTGAACCCAATACCGCGGGCCCCCCACGACCGAAAAAAGATGGCGGGGACGGCTTGGTGTGGAGGATGACATAGTTGTAGAAACGGCGAGGGGGATGAGTGCCTTGATCATGTGGAACTGTGGAAGGGCCCATTGCGTGTTGGGTATAATGGGGCAGTGGAAGGGCCCCAAAAGAAAAGGGGGCCTCCAATTGAGTCTTGGGCTCATCAAGCGAGGGCCCAGTAGAGCTATGCGGCATGCCGTATGGCACGGCCTTGAGTTTTTGATCCACTGGTGGATTGGGCAAAAGGCCACTTGTCGGTAGTGGCGTAGATGAACTCGAGAGCACCACGGAGGTAGAAGGTTCAGCATGGCCAACCCGAAAGTGATTGATAAGCAACTGAACGGAGTCTTGGAGTGTGGTGATGGCAAGGTCCGTTTGCGCACGATGTGTGTGAGCCTGTACCAATTTGTCTTTGAGGTCAGCACGATGTGTGTGAGCCTGCACCAACTCGTCTTTGAAGTCAACGCTGAGTTTGGAGAGTTGGGTTTCCATGCCAGCGATATCGTCAGAAACTTTGTCTCGGAACGCATGAAACTGTTCAGCAAGGCTGGCCACGGTTTGGGGTGCCATGGTAGAGAGCAAACGCAAACGAAAGTGAGGGATGGCTCTGATTACCAATTGATGTAGAATAGCCCGTAGGTTTAGAGTAAACAGCCCGTAGGTTTAGAGTAAATACTTGAGCAATAGAACAGAGAAGAAATAAGGGATCGAAGAGAAGAATTAGAGATCGAAGAGACGAAGGAAAGGGGAAGGAATCAGAGAGTTCAAAGTAAGGAAATTTATCATTAATCAAGTCTGCCTTAAAAGATTACAAACAACTCTATTTATAGAGGCAAAATCCTTTTTAGTCTAGGAAAAGGAAAAGTAAACTTTAAGAAATAGGAAAGCAAATTAACTAATAAGAAATCCTTTAACAAGAAGGAATCTTTAAGAATTAGGAAAACAAATTAACTAATAAGAGATCCTTTACTAAGAAGGAATCTTAAGAATTAGGAAAACTAAAAATAGGAAAACTAATCCAAGTAGAATTAGGATAACTAATAATATGCATTCTGCATCAGAAACATTTTGTGGCAGAGCTTTGATCATTCATTTGACACGATGTTGCCTGGCATGAAGCTTAGCGTGAACAAAAGAACAGGCAAACAAAGGCTGCTTACATCATGGTCAGCACTTGGTGATCCACAACCAGGAAAGTTCACTGCAGGCATTGATCCTGAAGTTCCCAGACAGATAATTACCTTGAAGGAAAATGCTACATATTGGAGAACTGCTGTCTACTTTGGCAAGGACGCAAAAACATACTTCAGAAATCCAAGTGGAACCTTCTTTTTCATTGCTCACAACATTGATATTGACGAGATTTATTTTAGTTATGGTGTCTCAGATAACTCAGTGAAATTGAGGTCTGTTTTGAATCCAAATGGGATGCTTGTACTGCTTCTGTGGCAGTGGAAGGATGACACTAGTACATGGCGTCAAGTGTGGGGGGAGCCTGAGAATAAATGTGATTTTTATGCTCGATGCGGTCCAGATGGTGCTTGTGATAAAAATAGCAATCCCCTCTCATCACAGTGCAAGTGTTTGAAAGGTTTTAGGATCAAATTTCACAAACAATGGGCTATGAGGGATTGGCCAGGAGGCTGTGTTCGGGAAAAGGCATTGACATGTGATAAAGGAGAAGGGTTCTCAAAATTTGAAAGGATGAAACTACCAGATCATTCTATTCTGTTAGGAAATAAGAGTACGAGAGAGTGTGAATCTGAATGTCTTAAGAACTGCTCTTGCACAGCTTATGCTTATTCAAATGTGACAGAAGGAAGTACTACAAATTGTTTGGCATGGTTTGGTGACCTGATGGATCTTGTAGAGAATCATGGTCTGGGGCAAACTATTTATATTCGTGTTCATCGCTCCGATCAATTAAATCGAAGTGTTGACAAAATCCTTTGAAGTAAATAGTAGTTAGCCAGAAAATGATCTTTTACTTCTTTGCAGATGGTAAGGGTCATGGTGATAAGAGGTCCCTTGTAATTGCTATAGTCTCAGCAACAGCAGGATTGGTTACAATAATTTTTGGCTATTTCTTATGGAAGAAAACTCTGAGAGAAGACGGTACCACTACTACTACTACTACTAGTAACTATTACTCTCTCTAAGATTCTGGAAATCCAAACAAATGATGTTCTAACAATGATACTGAAACAGGGAGGATAGGAGGAAGAATGAGCCAGACATTGAGTAATATTAGTGCTGGAGGTGGAAACAATGATACAGAGCTACCACTTTTCGACTTGCGGAGTATATTAGCTGCTACAGACAATTTCTCTGAAGCTAATAAACTGGGAGAGGGAGGATTTGGCCCTGTTTATAAGGTAACATTTCCACTGTATGCTCTAAATGTTAGGTATCTTTCATGAGAATGATCATTTCTTTTGTAAGGAGTGGTTCTCCTTGTATTGGATTTTTCTTCCACTACAGGGGACTCTGCTTGAAAATCAAGATGTAGCCATAAAAAGTCTGTCAAAGAAGTCAGGGCAAGGACATCAGGAGTTTATGAATGAGTTGAAGCTTATAGCCAAGCTCCAACATACCAATCTGGTTAGACTCTTGGGTTGCTGTATTGAAGATGAGGAAATGATCTTGATCTATGAGTTCATGCCCAATCGAAGTTTGGACAAAATTTTGTTTGGTATATATGTTGATCACTTTTAAGATTCTTTGATATTGTTGATTTCTGGGACATCAAATTTCTTTGCCTTTTGCCATTGCAATTAAACAATATTGTTCCAAAATTTAAGGAAAAACACTAAACTCATTCTTCCTCATGGTTTGTGGCAATCAGAACCATCTGAAAATACAAAATTGGATTGGGGCAAACGCTTTCGAATTATAGAAGGTATTGCTCAGGGACTGCTTTATATCCACAAGTACTCTAGATTGAAAATCATTCACAGGGACCTAAAAGCAAGTAATGTTCTGTTGGATGGAACAATGAACCCCAAGATCTCAGACTTTGGGATGGCAAGGATTTTCGAGATAAACAAAATTGGAGCAAATACTAAAAGGGTTGTTGGGACATAGTAAGTATATTTGGTTCTCATTCATGTTCCAAACCTTATGTAATTAATCACTGTTATTGTTTCAAACTTCTCTACCATTATTAATTCATGCAGCGGCTATATGTCACCCTGAGTATGCCCTCTTTGGCCATTTTTCAGAGAAATTGGATGTATTTAGCTTTGGGGTGTTGCTTTTAGAGATTGTAAGTGGAAAGAGGAATGCTGCTTTTTATAGTGTTGAACATTCGCAAACTCTTGCTGGTTGGGTAAGTATAGAGAATTCTAGTTTTTGTTTTTAAGCCTGAAGCAAATTTGCAATTAAACTAAGCTAATGATCATGATTCATGCAAGAAGATTAATGGGTTCATAAAAAATGTTTAAATCTTAGGCTTGGGAGCTATGGAAAGAAGGTAGAGGAATGGAGTTGATAGATGCATCAGTAAGGGAGACATACCAGCCTCATGAAGCTTTAAGGTGTATCCATGTAGGGCTTCTGTGTGTTCAAGAAGCTCCAGCTGATCGACCAACAATGTCTTCTGTGATTCATATGCTGCAGAGCAATGAAGCTTCATCGCTTCCACCCACAAAAGAACCTGCTTTTTCAAGGCATAGGAATTCCAGTGCCGTTGGGTCTTCTTCTCAAACATCTGCAAGTTTCTCCGACAATGTGGTCACCATTAGTATGCCAGAAGGTCGATAGCTTCAACACAGTTAAAAGTAGGATAAATAAACGAACAAAGAAAAACACTGAGACAAAGAGTTCAAGAATTCTATTGAGTTAATTGGGCTTCACAATTCTTATGCCCAGATATTGTTAAAGCTGCAACAACCATATGTATTAATTTTCCATTTTTACTTCTTTTGGGTCATTTTTGGGTAGGCCTAAAGAATAAACACAGCCTACAAAAGAACAATCTTGGACCCGAAAATAGCTTCCTTGCTCAATGAGCCTAATAACCTGCATGAGAAATGAGCCCAACGTCGGTTCTCTTTATTTTGATTGATAAATCACTGGTCTCTAATTTCTGAACAAATTACCGTGTGATATCTTTTTACGGGAGCTTCTACAATGAGGAGTTAAAGTGAGGAGACCGATTCGACCGTCAAAATATTTAAAATATTTAAGTCCCATGATTTCTTTACATTTGTTGATGGTGAGATTTGACCTCCTCAAATAACCTTTCACTTTAAGCTCTCATTATAGCATTTCCATCTTTTTACATTATGCAGGGCCCGGCCATTTAGATTGACAAAATTGAAAAACTGCCCGCACCAAATAAATCGGTCCGGTTTTTATTATCATTTTTTAAATACAAAGAAAAATTGGACCGAAGAAAGAATAAATTTCAGTTTTTTATTTTATTTTTAATACAAGTGACAGTCTAACTTAAGACCACACTACCAAGATATCAAGGGGAGGCGGGATTTGTCACACACACAAACTATCAATGTGTCATGGAATTCTAACTTGAGACTACTAATCTGTAACTTAAGTTAAAGCCCTTTTCCACTAGGCTAGACAAACGATATTTTGAATTTTTCTTGTTTATGTGGGGTAGTTTTCTATTGGTTTCCCTCATTGTAATTATCAACTATCCACATTGAATCGCCAACACCAAATAAACCGTAATCCTCTTATCTCGCTCTAGTAGTAGTCTTCGGTCCATAATTTTTTTACCGGACAAAATTGGTCTGGTTCCCAATTCTAGCCAAAAATCAAACATAATCAACCAAAGCACATCTGTAATAATATGCATGGTTTTATATGCTAGAAAGAAGTTATATAACAAGCGTATTCAAGATTTGACTTTTTAACCATTCAAAACAAAGCCCTCAATCAGTGATTAGGCTACTTAACTAACTTTAGACTCCATCTACCATAATGATTTGTCTACTCTGTAGTCTCTACCTTGTTAACTAATTTTAGACTCCATCTGCTTAATGTTACACCATGAACATATATATAGTTGATAAATAATTCTTGCATAAATCAACATGCACAAACATTTTGTTGCTCTTGTTTTTGGAAAGTTTCACGCGATTTAAGTTTAATTACCATTACTTATCTATGACCAATTAAATGAAATTTTCACTTATTTTAGTTGGTTTATATTTCTAGTAGTGAATTTTTAAGTGACTAATAATTTTTTTTTAATACAAGTAATAGTCTAACCTACAAAGAGGAGAGGGAGTTTCACACACATACAACTAAGGTGCTATAAGAGTTTGAATCTGGTCTACAACCACTATGTGGGTTGTCATGGGCTGTAGCCAAGGGAAGGTTTTGGGAGGAAAAAAAAATACACCTATATAGTCTAGTATCTTAACCTAAAAATAAATATTAAAAAATATACAATTTCATACCTTACCAATACCAATGGGCGTAGTCAGAGGTCTTCCACATTTGTATTTGGTGTCAAAAATTGTTCCAACATCAATTTTAATCTTTTTTCATTAATTTATCTCCAAAAGAGAAGCATTTTTCTAAATGAAATTCACCATTTTCTGAATAATATGGCTCTAATTCAATTTTTTCTTATGTTTACAAGTAGTGTGGTTTATAAGATTTAATGTATACTTATATATATATATAAAAAAAAACTATAGAAACTGTAAGTACCAAAAAAAAAAAAATTATCATTAGATTTTAAGCTAATAACTTTTGCTAACCCACCCGTTGAAAAATTTCTAATTCTGCCCTTATCTACAACTCAATAGCCTTTTCCACTGTGATAGACTCCATTGGCTACTAATAATTTTTTAAACAAGTTACACATACAAATATTTGAATCGTTTTTGTTCACCTTTGTGTTGTGTGCATAAATAATTTTTCACGTGCTAGTCTCTCCTACAGTACCTACTCGTCTACCAACGTTATCCACAAACACTAATCTTCTAGAACATGGTCCTTGTTTCATTTGAATGGAATCAATCTCCATGAATTTACCTTTTAAATGAATCTATGTCTCCTGTATTTTTGTCTTTGACTGACCAAGAAGAAACAGAAGCTGCTGTTTGAGAATATAAACGCAGAAGCCATGGCTTTTACATTGGCAAAATTTATGTGCATAAGCCACGCATATATATACACACACACACACACATATATATATATATATATATATAGATTTCATTGAGGGATCACTCAAATTAACTTATTTGAGGGACACTCTTGTAGGACCCATTTCGCATTGTATTTCACTAATCCAAACAATCTATATTTTAGATAATCATTCAAAGATCATCTCTACAAAAAATCACTTGAATACGATACCGTTTGATCACTCAATTGTGTTATTGAAATTTTAGTATTTTCTAGAAGCACCATGTTCATTGATTTTGTATGATATAATTGGATGTCGAAACAGTTTTCGATTTGTCTAATTTTTTGCAAGGATGATCTATAAATATAGACCTAAAAAATAGATGGTTTTTATCATAAGAAAAAAAAATCTTAGGGTACCCCTAAAGGTAGGGCCGGCCCTGACCTTTGAGTGGCCCTAGGCGATAAACTAAATGAGGGCCCTTCCTTTAGTATACAATTGTGAAAAAGACAACAAATAAAATGATTTTAATAGCGCATAGAGCGCGTGAATAATTTTTTACCATAAAAAATTATAGAGCATAATCCTGCCTGGTCAATTATAAAGCAAAGTCTAAGTCTCTTAACAGCAAAGTCATTGTCTGTGTATATCTGGAAATTGAAAAACTAGTTTGATGGATACGAACAAATATATAAAAAATTATAAATTATAAATATGATTACCTTTTCAATTTCTCATGTTCCTCCCCTCTTGGTCACCATCAATCTCAAAGACAATTTGTGAGCTTTTTAGTGTGAGATTGATTCTTAAGGTCACAATATGATATGAGAAAGGAAAAAAAAAAGATAAGGGAAACTGAAAATAATGGATGGATTGAAGAGAGATGGGGAAAACAGAGAAAAATATGGTGATGGATTATTAAGAGATGGGTGGATTAAATAGAGTTCTTCCATGGAGAAACTAACTAGGAGAGGAATCACCTTCCTCAAGCACATGTTGTTTCTGCTTTTGCGTGGGAAAAAAATAAACCTTCTGGGAAGAGGAAACGAAGAAACCTAATTTAATCGCATGTTGTTTCTGTTTTTTTATTTATTAATAAATTGGACAACAGTATATATATATATATATATAAATAATTTGGGGCCCCTTAATTGGAGGCCCATGACCAAGGCCTCCATCGCCCACCCCCAAGGCCAACTCTACCTAAAGGGTGTCCCTCAAATAAAATTATTTGAGGGATCCCTTAATAGAAGGAGACTGATATCTATTTCCATATGGTTTTTCCTTTTTACACATCTTGTTTAATTGTCTATCTATAGAAAATTGCCTCCTTCAAAGGAGAAAAGGAGAAAGTGCAAGGTGGGCAGAAAATTGCATAATCTTGACTGGACGAGTTCTCTCCTCACATGAAAATATGCAATCAGGTCGTAACCTTGCCAACCCACCCATAAAAATTTGCAGATGGTGGTGTATTATTAGGACTAAAATCAAAATTCATTGCAAAACTTATTAGTTTCAATGAGAGAGATGAAAAAAATAATTTTATGGATAACAATGTAAAGAGACATTTACAGCAGCTTGACCTGAAGTTAAGTATTCGGTTGGGTTCAATCTAGGCCTCAAACTAGAATATAGTTGTCAGATAAGGACTTTTGTTAATTATTATGCGACTCTTATTCGTTTTGATACGCAGTTGGATAGTTGGAAGTTAATTCTTCCCGAGATCTATCCTTTATTCTATGGTGGCGGGACTTCAATTCGTGGTGGTATGGTAGTCATGATTTAGGTTTCGGATCTATCCTTTATTCTATGGTAGTCAATTCGTGTGTGAGTTTGGATATGGGCTGTGATAGATTTTGGTGATTTGAGTTGTTTGGATTTTGTCCAATGTAGTTTCCCCCTTTTAGATTGTTGCTTTTGCAGTCATGTTGAAATTAAATGATAGATCTTTTTATATTACTTATCTATGACCAATTAAATGAAATTTTCACTTATTTTAGTTGGTTTATATTTCTTAATAATTATATCCCAGCAGTCATCAGCAGTAGGTTTTTAAGTGATTAATAATTTTTTTTTTAAATACAAGTGATAGTCTAACCAACAAAGATAAGAGAGGATTTTACACGCATACAACTAAGGTGTCATAAAAGTTTGAACCTGATCTACAACTCAATAGTCTTTTCCACTATGGTAGACTCCATTAGCGCTACTAATAATTTTTTAAATAAGTTACACATATACAAATATTTGAATCTTTTTTGTTCACCTTTGGGTTGTGTGCATAAATAATTTTTCACACGCTAGTCTCTCATACAATACTTACTCTACCAACGTTATCCACAACATTAATCGTCTAGAACATGATCCTTGTCTCATTTGAATGCCATCAATCTCCAGGAATTGTAGTATAGGAATTAGTTTTTAAATCGCAGTACGTATATCCAAGTGCATGAACAGCCCAAATGAATCTATGTCTCCTTCATGACTTTTGGGTTCCCATATTTGTCTTTGACGGACCATGAAGAAACAGAAATTGCTGCAAATGTGTCTGGACTGTTTGAGTATATAAACGCAGAGTCCTCTTATGTGGGTCTATTGTATTGGTCTATAATTGCGGTTTTTGTCGAAGGTCTATGTGTTAGTTTTTGTTTTTGATTTGTT